ACCCCCCCCCCCCCTCCCACCACCACCCCCCCACCCCCACCCCCCCCACCCACCCACCTGTCTTTTTGGCTTGGGCTTTGTCCTGGTGCCACCCCCTACCCCCCCCCAAACGTTTCACCGAACTCTTCCCAGCCAACTATGCTCCAGCGGGGTCGGCGGCTTGAGCCGGCTCTTAAATCCGGCCACGCCCGTGGTCCGACGCCGTTAGGCGCCAGCCCTAGCTTTAGCTATAGCGGGGGCGGGTTAAGCCGCTGACCCGGTTGGCTCCCCAACATCCGGCTCCAAATGCGGCTCCCGAAGGGCATCATGTTTCAGGTACATTTTTTATCGCGAAAAACGCGCTATTTCCCACCGAATTTGGGCTCCAGGGCGCATTTTTTGGGTGCCCCATGGGGGGTCCCAAAAACGACCCCGGAGAGCATCATCGACTCTCTTTTTCAACTTTGGCCAAACACGCGTTGTTGATGTTTTTTGGGTGGCATTGGCCACCCCAAAGGACCCCACAAGAGCGCGCATCATGAGCATCAGCGGCTTGGGTTTTGGGTTTCGGATGCGGCTGAGAGCTTGGAAAACACAGAAATCGCTGTAAATACCGTGGTTTTCGTGCTGTTACGGACATTTCCGTTTTGAGGCCGGCATATGCCCCTATAAGCCATGCATGCCTGGAGGCCGGAGCCGCTGATGCTCATGATGCGCGGCCGGGCGGGGGGCCAGGGCGCGCATCATCGAGGCTTCGTTTCTCTTTAAAAAACCGGGGGGCGAGCATCAGCAGCAGTGGCTCCGGAAAGGGTTTCGGGCGGCAGGATTTCGAAGGATGCTGGCATAACTCCATAACATGGCACTCGACATGCGCGCGCGCGCGCGCGCGCGCGCGGAAAACGCACCAGTTCCCGCGCGCGCGCCCATGGCTTCCCTGGCCCCATGGCCCATGGACCCATGGCTCCTGGCCCCGTAGCTCTAGCTCCTTCAGCTGACTTTAAAGGGCTGCGACCCATGGTGGCCCCATGGTCTGGCCCCAGGCACCTGGAAGTTCTGGGCTCAGTGCATGCCGCTCCCTCCCCGCTCTGCCCTGCCCCCATGGCCCCGATCTCGTATGGCCCCACCCCCCTCGACCCCCCTCCTGGCCCCATGGATGACGCCAGGCCCCGCCTCCAGGCCGCACGGCCCCAGTGCCTCTTCTGGGCCATGACTCTGAGTCGCTCCGCCCGCTCCGCCCACCATGCCCCTCGGCTCCCCTGGCCCCATGGCCCATGGACCCATGGCTCCTGGCCCCATGGTCCCGTAGCTCTTGGCCTCAAGGTCCATGCTCCCATGACCCCATGCCCCTGGACTCTGGCCCCATAGCTCTTTCCGCTGACTTTAAAGGGCGCCATACATGCCCACCCGCGCCGTTGTTTGTTGTTGGGGGCCAGGGTGCGCATCATCGAACTTCGTTTCTCTTTGGGGACTCGGGGGGCGAGCATCAGCAGCATCAGCGGCTCCGGAAAGGGTTTCGGGCGGCAGGATTTCGAAGGATGCTGGCATAGCTCCATAACATGGCACTCGACATGCACGCACACGCGCGCGCGCGCGCGCCCGCGCGCCCGCGCGTCTAATGTTCAACTATTGGCTGAGTAAGGCGCTGACGATCATGCACATGAACACCTCCACGGTGTTTGCGAACGTGAAAACTGTACATGCACACTTCCACAGTGTGGCCATGCACCTCCACGGTGTTTCTGAACATGAACACCTCCACGGTGTTTGCGAACGTGAAAACTGCACATGCACACTTCCACAGTGTGGCCATGCACCTCCACGGTGTTTCTGAACATGAACACCTCCACGGTGTTTGTGTTGTTGTTGTTCTTGTTGTTGTTGTTGTTGTTGTTGTTGTTGTTGTTGTTGTTGTTGTTGTTGTTGTTGTTGTTGTTGGCTGAGTAAGGTGCTGACGATCATGCACATGAACACCTCCACGGTGTTTGCGAACGTGCAAGCTGTACATGCACACTTCCACAGTGTGGCCATGCACCTCCACGGTGTTTCTGAACATGAACACCTCCACGGTGTTTGCGAACGTGAAAACTGTACATGCACACTTCCACAGTGTGGCCATGCACCTCCACGGTGTTTCTGAACATGAACACCTCCACGGTGTTTGTGTTGTTGTTGTTGTTGTTGTTGTTGTTGTTGTTGTTGTTGTTGTTGTTGTTGTTGTTGTTGTTGTTGTTGTTGCTGCTGTGGTTGCTGCCGTTGTCCTGCTGCTGGTGGGCGTGCCCGGCTGTGGGCGACAGCCCGTTAGATTTAAGGTTTAGGGTTTAGGGTTCGGGCCTTCGAGGCTTTCGGGTGTGGGGCTTAGGGTTTTAGGGTTCCGGGCTTAGGGTTTAGGGTTTAGGGTCCTAGACTTAGTTTAGCGTTTTGGGATTTAGGGTTTAGGGTTTAGGGTTGGAACGTCCCAGAAATGAGGAGTATACCGTAGACCTCAAAATAAATAGGGGTTAACTGTGGCCTTTATAACCCGTTGAAATCATACTGAAATTTCGGGCCCCTTATTATGAACCCAAGTAAGGAGGGAAAGATTAAACCCTAAACCCTACACCCTACACCCTACACCCTAAACCCTAAACACTACACCCTAAACCCTAAACCCTAAACCCTAAAACCCTAAACCCTAAACCCTGCACCTAGTTAAATGAATTAAGGGCTGCTGGGGGGGGGGGGGGGGGGGGGCTCTCGGGGAACGGGCAAGCCTGCGGCTAGCTAAACGCAACCCCTAAACCCATAGGGTGTAGGGTTTAGGGTTTAGGGTTTCGGGTTTAGGGTTTAGGTTTTAGGGTCTCGGGTCTCGGGTCTCGGGTCTAGGGTTTAGGGTTTAGGGTTTAGGGTTTACGGTTTAGGGGTTTAAGGCAACCGAATCCCCGCTTTCGCGAAACCCCGTTTTGTCGAAACCAGACTGGGCAGGCACGAATCAAATCCCAAAACCATGAACAACCGCACAGCCCACCTGGCATGTCACTTTCGATTCGCCCAAAACAGGTTCCAATTCTGGAGCTCTCCGAAGTTGCAATGATCCTCCGGAATATTCTCTGTCTGGTTAGGAAATTTCCGTGCGATATCGCAGCCCAAAACACCCCAAAATAAAACCCTAAAACCCCAACACGCTAAACTCGTAACAACCCTAAAACCCTGAAATCCCATGCCTAAAACTCTAAAAGCCTCAGACCTCCAAAACCCGAAACCCTAACCTTTTTCCTAAATCCTAGAACCCCAAAACCCAAAGAGCCCAACACTTCCCCTGAATTAAGGAGTATACCTCAAACTATATAGGGGTCCTTGCTATGAGTTAAGGTATACATATATATATATATACATATATGTATATATGTGTATATCTCTTCCTTTCTTTAAGGGGCGCTGGCCCCTAAACCATACAACCCACAGCCCTAAACCCTACACCCTATACCCCTACAACCCTAAACCCTAAACCCGAAACCCTAAGCCCTAAACCCTAAACCCTAAACCCCACAAGTGGGCCTCCCCGTTGCAAGGCAATGGCTGTGAGCCGCTGGGGCTCTCCTCCGTAGGCTTGCAGGGCTTCAGGATTCTAGGGTTTAGGGTTTGGGGTTTAGGGTTAGGGGGTTTAGGGGTTTAGGGGTTTAGGGGTTTAGGGGTTTAGGGGTTTAGGGGTTTAGGGGTTTAGGGGTTTAGGGGTTTAGGGGTTTGGGGCTTTAGGGGTTTAGGGGTTTAGGGGTTTAGGGGTTTAGGGGTTTAGGGGTTTAGGGGTTTAGGGGTTTAGGGGTTTAGGGGTTTAGGGGCTTAGGGGCTTAGGGGCTCAGGGGCATAGGGGCTTAGGGATTTAGGGGTTTAGGGTTTAGGGGTTTAGGGGTTTAGGAGTTAAGGGAGGTTTAGGGAGGTTTTGGGGTTGAGGGGTTTAGGGGTTTTGGGGTTTAGGGGTTTTGGGGTTTTGGGGTTTAGGGGTTTAGGGGTTTAGGGGTTTTGGGGTTTGGGGGTTTTGGGGTTTTGGGGTTTTGGGGTTTTGGGGTTTTGGGGTGTTGGGGTTTTGGGGTTTTGGGGTGTTGGGGTTGGGGGTTTGGCTGAGCTCACTTTGTCCTTCGTGGTTCCCTATGCATTTCCTCATGGGCAGATAAACAACCCAATTCTCGCAAGCATAGCCTAGAGGGTCTGGGGTTAGGCTGAGCCCTCAAACAAAGGCCTGGGCACGCTAAGGCGGCGTAGGGTTGCCAGGTTCGCTTATAGGCGTTTCAAACGCGGCGTTTTCCATCCAGCCCCCGCCTAAACCCGAAACCCTCGACTGTAAACCCTGCTTCTATCATAAGGCCAAAAGAAGAACAACCGCGGGGCGCTTGAGGACCCTATCAGAGCTGATTCGGGGCTTACTTGGCCTTCTAAGGTTGGGTCTAGGTTCAGGGAATGGTTTTGACTTTGCCATGAGGACCAATAATAACAAAAATGCAATCAGTTTCTTTCAAAACGGGGAACCATGGGACTGCACTTTTCTGCTTGCTTACACGAAAAGGTAGAACCACTCGGAAAACCAAGCAGCCCAAAAAAAACTGGGACTCTTCCATCAGGGGGCCTACGTGTAAGACTCCCGGGAAACTGTTGTTTTTTGTTCTTGCTTTTGCTTTTGCAGTTTTCAGTTTTTTCGCTTTTGTGTTTTTTGGCTTTGGTGTTTTTGAGGAAATTTGGAGTTTGCGTTGTTTTGTACAGGCAGGGACAGCTACTCGGAGAAGCCCGCGCACTTGACGTCCACTTTCCCTTTGTAATTTCCAGCGTCTCTAGGACACGGGGCGAAACAAGACATTCTTTTTTGCAAGAGCTCGCGCCGAGCGGTTTGCGTCAGTGAGGAAACGCGCTTGCTGGAAATGAAGGGGCGTAGGCACACCGCGTACTTGTTCTCCACGGCTTCGTTGTGACGCTTCGACACTCACCAGTCTACTGTCTGTCCTTCGTAATGCTCAGAAGCGCCGGCGGGGGCGATGCTTCGATTCGTTTTGAACTCACAGTGCTCCAGAAAGCGCAGCACTTCCGCGCTCCCGATCGCGCCTCGCCTTTTCCAGGAAGTCGGGCCCTGTGTAGTACTCGCGGGCTTTCACCAAGTCCAATACATTGAACCCGCCTCAGCTAAGCGAGCACAACAATCCCTCGATTGCTTGAGGAACGAAGCACCCATGTTTGGCAACACACCGTCCGTCATCGAAGATCGCTGGCTTGAACTTGCTCGCGGGCTCGGATGCAAAAATCCAAATGCTCCGCAGTCACGACGGCTTCTTCGATCTCGTATTTTGATTGGCAGAACGCGACGGCTTCGGACGCAAGGTTCTCTCCAGTACGGCTTTCCCGATCCATGTGACGCCACGCTGACGGACGGACCCTAACATGTGCACGAGCACGCCGTCGAAGAACCCGCCCACTATGCCCTTCAGCGTGAACGGCCCAATCTAATGTTGTGGCACTTGCACGAGAAAAGTTGCGTAGCGCTGCCATGACCTTGGACTCCTGCCGATTCTCGATTGGATTACCTGGTTCATGAATCCGTTCGTCTGTCCATTCCATGAACTGGTTCATGTTGTTTGCACGTGGACCTCTTTGTCTCGAATGAACTTGTGCCTCTTCTCCCGAGATTCTTGATCAAGAACGATCTTCTTTATGAAGTTTGACTGGATCGTCCAGCTCCTCACTTGCATGCCCCCCACGCTGTCCATCATGTAGATCAATTCCGCTAGTGCCTGGCGCGCGTGAGTACCTACTCGATTGCAGTGCCATTTCAAAACACACGTCGACGCAATCCTTCTCGTTTCAGCTTGCTTTGCGCAGGTACACATGCTTGAGGACGTGACATAGGCGACTGATGCATTAGGATCACCGTCCGGAGGTGGGGTAGCTGGCAAGATGATGATCTGCCTCGCGTATGTGATGGGTCGCAACGAAGCTATTGCTCCACCTTTCCGGAAGTAGAGTCACGGTAGATCGCCTACTCTCACGGCACCGACCTCGCGAATGGATGAAAAGGGTCTAGTTTCTGAACCCTTCAGACGAAGTCCTGTGACAGAAACGGCTTCATCAAAGGTGAGCATCATTCTCCCCCAATTCTCTGGCCAATCCTGGAATGGAAGTTCCAGGTTGACTTGCCATGACGATTATCTCTTGTTTTTCCTGCACCACTCGAGTCTTGAAATCCGCTGCGATGTAAACAACAGTCGAATAGTGCTATATTTGGCTTCTTATATCGTTGCTTTACTTATGTCTTAACACACGAGACTTCAAACAAGTAAAAAAAGAGCAAATATAAGAGATTCAACAACAAAATGAAGGACGCACGACCTTAAACGTGCACCCCCGATAAGGCTACAGATGCACATATGGGACATCAAACAAGCTCAAACCCCAAAAAGAGCGCACTCCCACAGTCCCCCGGACTCTTTCTATTGCCTGGCGCAGCTAAACGTTAAGAATACCTCAAGGAAACTAGCCCCTGAAACCCGAAAACCCTATGCCCCAGGCCTGATCCGAAAAAACGGACCTTGCCTATGAACAAACTGGGCCTTGCCCACGAAGTTTTGGACCTTGCCCACAAATTTTTTGGTGGTTGGAAGGCCCAAAAACTCGTGGGCATCGTGGGCAACATCCAAAAATTCGTGGGCAAGGTCCACAATAGGCCCACGGGCCTTGCCCACGAAAACATGGACCTTGCCCACGAAAAAAACGGACCTTGCCCCACGAACACCCTTCAGGTTTAAATATTCTTATAAGTAAGAGAGGTTTAGGGTTCAGGGTTCAGGGTTTGGGGTTTGGGGTTTAGGGTTTAGGCCTCAAAAAATAGGATTCAACTCTCAACAAACCCCCGGCCTTCATCGTCCGTCACGTTGAGGCGCCAGTCGATGTTCACCTGCAGGGCCCGTTGCCAACTTTCGTCTCGTAGGGTTTAGGGTCTAGGGTTTTGGGGTGCCCTCATGGCCTGCACATCCTCGGCCCCATCCATCCACTGGAGCCAATACATGGTCAGCATGCTGTTGCTGCATCCTGCGCTTGGTCTTACGGTAGCCCCTAAACCCTAAACCCTAAACCCTAAACCCTAAACCCTAAACCCTGAACCCTGAACCCTAAACCCGGGCGCCTCGTGCTATCTGACGACCCCAACCGAGGCGAGATCGCCAACACATGGGACAGGTGGCGCGCCTTCCATGATACCCTAAACCCTCAACCCGAAGCCCTAAATCCTAAACTCTAAACCCCACACCCCTATGTACGAAAGCATAGTTTGTGAGACAACGGTCGACGGTCGCTCTGGCGGTGTGTTTAGGGGGTTGGGGTGTAGGTCCAGGGTTTCAGGGTTTTAGGCTTCTAGGGCCCTAAACCCTAAGCCCGAAGCCCTAAGCCCGAAACCCTAAACCCTAAACCCTAAACCCTAAACGCTCTGCAAGAGCCTGTCAGGCGTCCTGTGAGCAGCTTGTTCCCGTCATTGGCCAGAAGCAGGACATCGGCAGAATGCGTCAGGAGGCTCGGCTTCTTGCCAATCCTGGGCTCCGCGGCTTTTGCTTTAGGGTTTAGGGTTTAGGGTTTAGGGTTTAGGGTTTAGGGTTTAGGGTTTAGGGTTTAGGGTTTAGGGTTTAGGGTCTAGGGTTTAGGGTTCAGGGTTCAGGGTTTAGGGTTTAGGGTTTAGGGTTTAGGGTTTAGGGTTTAGGGTTTAGGGTTTAGGGTTTAGGGTTTAGGGTTTAGGGTTTAGGGTATAGGGTTTAGGGTTAGGGTTTAGGGTTTAGGGTTTAGGGTTTAGGGTGTGGGATTTGGGGTTTAGGGGTTTGGGGTTGAGGGTTTAGGGTTTGGGATTTGGGGTTTAGGGTTTGGGGTTTGGGGTTTAGGGTTTGGGGTTTAGGGTTTAGGGTTTAGGGTTCAGGGTTTAGGGTTTAGGGCTCAGGGCTCAGGGCTTAGGGTTTAGGGTTTAAGGTTTTGGGTTTAGGGCTCAGGGCTTAGGGTTTAGGGTTAAGGGTTTAGGGTTTAGGGTTTAGGGTTAGGGTTTGGGGTTTGGGGTTTGGGGTTTGGGGTTTGGGGTTTGGGGTTTGGGGTTTGGGGTTTGGGGTTTGGGGTTTAGGGTGTGGGATTTGGGGTTTAGGGTTTAGGGTGTAGGGTTTAGGGTTTAGGGTTTAGGGTTTAAGGTTTTGGGTTTAGGGCTTAGGGCTTAGGGCTTAGGGTCGAGGGTTAAGGGTTTAGGGTTTAGGGCGCCCGCCCAGCCACCTCTCGATGAAGGGCCCCTTCAAGGAAGGCTTAGGAGTCAGGCTCAGGAGTCAGGTTGCTGGGGCTTTGGGGTCCTCGAGGGAGGAGGGTTCATGGGGGGTAGGTACCTGGAGAACCTTAATGAAGCTTAGGGAGGCTTAGGAAGTACGGGGGTATTAGGGAACCTTTGAATTACATTGAATTACATACCCCCTCCTTTAAGAACCCTATGGGTGAGATTGGGGCCCCTTCGCATGCCTAGATAGTAAACCCAAACCCCTAAACTGGCGCAAGAGCCCCAAATCACCCCCAAAATCGCAAGTGCCGAGGCGCCGAAGTTGTGCAGGGTACAGCGGCCAGAGGTACACCTTTCAACAAGGGTGTTTCAAAAGTTTAGGGTTCAGGGGTTTCGGGTTCCTGAACCCTAAACCCTAAACCCCTAAGCCCTAAACCCTAAACCCTAAAAAACTTGGGAGTTTAGGGTTCTTCGGTCCAAAGCACGAAGCCCCAAACCCGAAACCCCAAACCCCAAACCCTAAACCCTAAACCTTAAACCCGAAACCCTGAACCCGTGACCTGCTGCTTCACCGCCAAGGCGAGGGCGAAGTCGTAGACCAACTGGGCTGTTCGGGTTTAGGGCTTAGGGCTTCGGGTTCAGGGTTTAGAGTTTAGGGTTTCGGGTTTAGGGCTTAAGGCTTAAGGTTTAGGGCTTAGGGTTTCGGGTTTAGGGCGTAGGGTTGAGGGTTGAGAGTTTTTTGGGCTTAGGGTTTAGGGTTTAGGGCTTGGGGCTTCAGGTTTAGGGGGTCCATGGGGTCTACGGGGCTTTGGCTCTGTAAGGTCTATGTTTAGGGCTTAGGGGTGGAGCTGAGTTGAAGACGAGTCTCTCGGTTCTTGGCAGGGAAGCTGGGAATTTGATGCACCGTTGTTCCCTTTTTCTGGATTCTCACAGACTCCACAATAAGGTGAAAGAGAGTCCACAGCAAGGTCCTCTTGCATTTGAGAAGATGGCAACGCATGAAGTCTCCACGAAGCCTGCCCACATTCCCCACACCCCACACCCTAAACCCTAAACCCTAAACCCCAAGAAAGGCACGCAAGGCCTCAATGTGTTGAACCCAGGCGCTGCAAGTGCCGCTGCCGAGTGCGGCAACCCGCGGCAGGTTATCAGCTTCGTCTCCCAGGGCAGCTCATTCGTTCTTCGCGGGGGGTTTAGGGGTCTACGGGGTTAGGGGTTTTGGGATTTTGGGGTTTAGGGGTTAGGGTTTAGGGTTTAGGGCTTAGGGCTTGGGGCTTAGGGTTTAGGGTTTAGGGTTTGGGGTGGGGATGCAGGGCTTCCGGGGGCTTTGGGGTTATATGGGGTATCTAGTTCCTTAGAACCGGTTTTCACCTTTAGGGTTTCGGTTTAGGAGGTTAGGGTTTCGGGGTTTAGGGTTTAGGGTCGAGGGTTTGGGTGATATAGGGTTTCCCCATGTAAGCCCTAGCGCGAAAACCGCATTTGCAACCGTTTGCAATTCTCAAGCCTTCGGCCCTGAGCCCATCAGCCCCCAAACCCTAAACCCCTAAACCGCTGTAACCCTTGTTCAGGTTTAGGGTTTAGGGTCTAGGGCTTCGGGCTTCGGGTTTCGGGTTTCGGGTTTAGGGTTTAGGGTTTAGGGAGGCCAAAGGCCCCAACCCCCGGCCTCGCCGCAGTGTGCTTCAAGGTATGTCACGGAGCAATCAGGCATGGCCTCGGCTGGCAGATATGAGTTTAGGGTTGGGGCGGTTTAGGGTTTAGGGTTTAGGGTTTAGGGTTTAGGGTTTAGGGTTTAGGGTTTAGGGTTTAGGGTTTAGGGCTTTAGGGGTTTAGGGTTTAGGGGTTTAGGGTTTAGGGTTTAGGGTTTAGGGTTTATGGAATAGGGTGTACCTAAGAATTGGCTTAGAGCTCTATGGGGGTGTTTCCGAAATTTGGGGTACCTTATGGGGGTCCGTATTTCAAGGGAATCCTACTACTGGGGGTGTATATTGGGGTCTCCTATTTTCGTAAACCCTCCTACTTAGAGCTCCTAGACCCAAGAGTAACCTAGGAATAAAAAAGGGTACCCTTCTTGGGTCAAAAGGCCTTATAAGGGAACCTGAACAGCTAAAAAACATGGAATAAGGGCGTATTCTGGGTCCTAGGCTCTTGGCCGAACAGAACCTAGCAACGAGAAAAGACTGGTACGTTCACATCTGAATCGGGCTTATAAGGGGTCCTGACCGGAATAAACTGGGTTCGGGGTTTAGGGCTTAGACTTCGATTCTGGGGTCGCGGGTTTGGGGTTTACGGTTTACGGTTTAGGCTTCAGGGTTTAGAGCTTCGGGTCCTGTTGAGGTCTGCCCTAAACCCTAAACCCTAAACCCTAAACCCTAAACCCTAAACCCTAAACCCTAAACCCTAAACCCTAACCCCTAAACCCTAAGCCTTTCCTGCAGAAAGGTGGCCCAGAAGCAGACTTTCTTGTCATGGCTTGTGAACATTAGCAGGCCGTCAGCCGACACCTGGGACGGCATCATTGGGGTTTAGGGTTTAGGGTTTAGGGTTCAGGGTTTAGGGTTTAGGGTGTAGGGTGTAGGGTGTAGGGTTAAGGGCGTACAGGGTTTCGAAGTGTACCCACAGAAGTATGGTTCCTTTGGGCCTCCAATTGCAGAATGAAGTATGCGCCCAAATAGAGACCCAAAGGCCTTAGGCTTTAGGGCCTTAGGTTCTAGGCCTGCGGGTTTAGGGTTTCGGGTTTAGGGCTTAGGTTTGGGGTTCAGGGCATTATGCCTTTCAACCATCCGCAAAATTCGTCACGACCAGGGTTGTCCACTCAAGCGCTGGGAGGAAACACAGGGTCTACAGGGCTACTTTTGGGTTTCGGGCTTCAGGTTTCTCCTTTCACCCTGGGCCTTAGGGTTTAGGGTTTAGTGGTTAGGGTTTAGGGTTTAGGGTTTAGGGTTTAGGGTTTAGGGTTTAGGGTTTAGGGTTTAGGGTTTAGGGTTTAGGGTTTAGGGTTTATGGGTTTATGGGTTTTGGGTTTCTCCTTTCGCCCTCAGCCCTTCGGTGCTTGTGAGTCGCCTTCATGTGCTCTGCGCAGCCCCAGTCGGGGCAGCGCAGAAGTTGAAGGGGCTGGTCAGGAACGGTCCTGGCTCAAGTGTCTTAAATGTCTTAGATTATAGGGCTTAGGGTTTAGGGTTTAGGGGTGGTTTTGGGTTTAGGGTTTAGGGTTTAGGGTTTAGGGTTTAGGGTTTAGGTCCCTTAGTCTGGGCCCTCTGCAAAAGCAACTCATCGTGGGAAATACCGATCGAGCAGTAAAGCTTGATCTTCTGGCAGGACGTGATGGTGCCAATGTCCATGCCTTTCATCGCAACCAAGCGATAGGACGCCATCTGTCCCAATGCATTCTGGAGCTGAACGGGCTGGTTGCTTAAGCCTGCTGCTTGCGATGGTGGGGGCAGGGGGGTCTTTTCCTCAATCCCTGCAAGCTTGACGAACTCCGTGTCACTCATCAAAGCTAGGCTGCCCAGTAACCTAGGCTTAAAAAGGGTGCCCATTTTTGCTTAAAGGGGTTTATAAGGGAACCTAAACCCCCTAAAAAGGGAATAAGGGTACTACGGGCATCCCAGAAAGCAAACTCAACGTAGCTCTCGTACCCTTGCGTCTGCCAATCGATGACGTTGGCTGGGGGGGGCTCGACCTGGCTAGGCTCCTTTCCACTGTGCACTTTGTAATTGCGGTGGCTTGGGATTTAGGGTTTAGGATTTAGGGCTTAGGGTTTTAGGGTTGAGGGTTGGAGGGTTGGATGGTTGGAGGGCTTGAGGGCTTAAGGGCTTGAGGGTTTGAGGGCTTGAGGGCTTGAGGGCTTGAGGATTTGAGGGCGATGTCCTTTCCAAGGAATACTACAACTGGAACATACAGGGGACCCTTTCAAAAAACAAAAACTCTGTCAGGGCCTTGCTTTGGGGTTTTCGGCCTTGAAGGGTTTAGTTTGGGGTTTTAAGGTTTAGAGCTCAGGGGTTTAGGGGCTTGAATAGCGGCGTAAGAGGTCCAGGTTTTAGGGGCGTCTGGGCTTGTGGGATTGTAAGGGCTTCAGGGCCCCAGGTGCTTGCGTTTAGGGTTTAGGGTTTAGGGCTTAGGGCTTAGGGCTTAGGGCTTAGGGCTTAGGGCTTAGGGCTTAGGGCTTAGGGCTTAGGGCTTAGGGCTTAGGGCTTAGGGCTTAGGGCTTAGGGCTTAGGGCTTAGGGCTTAGGGCTTAGGGCTTAGGGCTTAGGGCTTAGGGCTTAGGGCTTAGGGCTTAGGGCTTAGGGCTTAGGGCTTAGGGCTTAGGCCCCACACAAGAAAGCCAGACTCGTCCACAAGGGCGTCCGAGTATCGGACCCCTCAGGATGTACCCCTGAGAGTGTTTCCCTGCAGAAACTCCGAGTCTGGCCCTTGTAACTCCCTTAGAGAAGTCCTAAACCCTAGACCGCGGCCTTGTAGGTTTCATGGATTAGAACCTACCTGAAGAATCCCAGAACCTACTTTTTTAGGTAGGGTCGGTGAGAGAAGATGAGAGCACGAGAGGGGCAACAAATCCCTACTCGAAAGCCTACAACTACCGAGCTCGAAATGAACTCACTCGCGGTTTAGGGTTTTTTGGGTTTCGCGTTTAGGGTTTTGAGACCCAACACCCTGCACCCCCCGATCTAATTGTTTGGTTCTGGGGTTCAGGGTTTTAGGTTACTTAGGGTTTCGGGCTTAGGGTTTAAGGTTCAAAAAAACTCTGCATCAGAGGAGCGTTGCTCCACCTCACATTATCCTACACTCCCGAAAGGCCCCGGGGCAAAAGAGCCCTAAAGCCCCATTCCCAAAGCCCGAAACCCTAAGCCCTAAGCCCTAAACCCTAAACCCTAAACCCCAAACCCCAAACCCCAAACCCTAAACCCTAAACCCCAAACCCTAAACCCTAAACGCGACAGGCGGTCCAGGAGACCTCGTGCGATTGGATGAGGCCTTGCTCGGGGTGAGGAGGACATGTGAAAGGTTCCCAAGTATGGGTTTAGGGTTTAGGGTTTAGGGTTTAGGACTTAGGGTTTAGGGGGGAAGGGATTCTATGCCCTATCAAACCCAAAGACACATACTTCAGAACAGTTTGAAGACAGTCCCTAAAGAGGATCCCGAAATATACACCTCATATGGCCTTTGTCTTGCCGTAGAGGATCCGTAAAAAGGGTCCCAAGGCCAAAGGGTAAACCCTTCGGGGTCCAAGGAAGAAACCCTAAACCCTAAACCCTAAACCCTAAACCCTAAACCCTAAACCCTAAACCCTAAACCCTAAACCCTAAACCCTAAACCCTAAACCCTAAAACCCTAACCCTAGCCCCAAACTAAATCCCATGAACGCCCTGAATGCTCGCCCAGTGGCGGCTTCGGACAGTGCGGATGAGGCTGAGGAGAAGCCACAAGGCGTGCCGCAACGCCATCTGTGCAGGGCTGGGTACTACTCAAATCCCCCCCCCTAAACCCTAAACCCTAAACCCTCAACCCTAAACCCTAAACCCTGTCTCATGGAAAGTCAGAAATGCAGGGACTTACCTAGAAAAAGACCCTTGGCCATTTGGCCTAACCAGCTTCAATCCTGAATTCAAAGGAAGTCAGGTTTTAAAGTGCCAAGCTTCGACTCCTAACATTCCAAGAACCTTTAGGCAGTGTGGAAATAAGAGCTCTTGGACCCGCAGGGCTATAAAACCCTAAACCCTAAACCCTAAACCCTAAACCCTAAACCCTAAACCCTAAACCCTAAACCCTAAACCCTAAACCCGAAACCCTAAACCCTAAACCCTAAACCCTAAACCCTAAACCCTAAACCCTAAACCCTACCCTAAACCCTAAACCCTAAACCCTAAACCATGGATACTAAATGCGAATACGATGCCTTGGATTCCTGAGCGTGGGTGACATAAAACTTGACGACAAACGCTCTCCGAATGCGTCCCTTTTCGAGGTTTAGGGTTCAGGGTTCAGGGTTCAGGGTTTAGGGTTTAGGCTTTGAGGTTTCGGGCTTAGGGTTTAGGCTTTAAGGTTTAGGGTTTAGGGTTTAGGGCTAGGGTTTAGGGCTTAAGGGTTCGGCTTGATGGGCGTTTCGGGAGCTCAAGACATCCCGACCTGTACACGAGCAGCCCATGGCGGGCAAGAATAGCTGCGGCAGGGATTGACTACGTGAGTTCGGCTTGTTGGCTTAGGGTTCAGGGTTCAGGGTTCAGGGTTCAGGGTTTAGGGTTTAGGGTTTAGGGTTTAGGGTCTAGGGCTGAGGGTTTAGGGTTTAGGGCTTAAGGTTTAGGATTTGGGGCTTCAAAGTTCAGGGTTTGGGGTGAAGGTTTAGGGTTGGGGCTTTGAGAGTTTACTGTTTCGGGTTCAAGGGGACACCCCTAAACCCTTAACTCGGACGAACGTTGCTCTCGTCTGCACAAAAGTCATAAACCTCCAGGCCCCAAATCGAAAACCTAAGCCTACTTACCATAAATCCCAAACCTATAAGGACGTCAACTCCTGCAAGTACCGGGTTTAGGGTTTAGGGTTTAGGGTTTAGGGTTTAGGGTTTAGGGTTTAGGGTTTAGGGTTTAGGGTTTAAGGGATCCATGCTCGAGCAGCACTTGGGCCGGGAGCCAAAAGCAGCGCTCGGCAGCACCGGATCCACAACGGATGTAGGGTTTGGAGTCTCAAGTTGAAGGTTTGGGGTTTAGGGTTTAGGGTTTAGGGCTTAGGGTTTAGGGTTTAGGGTTTAGGGTTCAGGGTTTAGCGCTCTCCAGCAGAAGTATCCTCCAACATGAAACCCTCAGAACGCCAAATCATCCACCAAACTTCTACGCTGCGAGACACCCCGCCCAGATACTTTCACAGGACGTACCCGAAGTAGACCCTAAACCCTAAACCCCAACCGGCCCTAACCCTAAACCCTAAACCCAAAACCCCCTAAACCCTAAACCCTAAACCCTATTCAACCGTTAGAGCTTGAGAGGCCCTCAACACTTCACGGTTTGGACTTTGCTTTGGGGGTGGCTTATCAGGGCTTGGGCGGTAAGAGCCCAAGAGACGGTTCAGGGCTTTAGGGTTTAGGGTTTAGGGTCTGAAGGGCTTCTCGGCCGGTTCCGGGGGGAGGGTGAAAGGGTGCTCGTGCGGGGCTTTTGGGTGGGGTTTGGAGTTTAGGGTTTACGGCTACTTGTTATCACTCCTACAAATAAGTACAAGCAACGAAAGCCTGAAGGGCTCGGCAAGCGTAGACAACTTTAAGGCTTCTAGCCAGGCTTCGGACGGCTTGAGGTCCACTTACAGGGTTTAGGGTTTCGGGTTTAGGGTTCAGGGTTTGGGGTCTGGGGTCTGGGGATTGGGGTTGTTGACCTTGGTCCAAGAGCTAGGGGGGGTGGAGGTCTGAACTTCAAAAGCTGTTTAGGCTCTGGTTTTGGGTTTAGGGGCTAGGGCACGGAGGTGCCGGCGTAGGGTTAAAACCCTAGCCCTAAACCCTAAACCCAAGTCCGAAGATTTGCTCTGGGGGGGGGGGGGCTCTCAACCTCAAACCCCCCCAAACCCCAAAACTCTAAGCCATAGACCCCCAAATCCAGCCCTAGACCCCAAATCCCCACACCAATTCTAAGCCCTGAAACCCTGAAACCCCAACACCCTTAAAGCCGAAATTAGACCCGAAGCCCCCTGAATCTGAAAACCCTCAAAGTTAAGGACTACGCCCCTGAACCCTCAAACCCCAAGCCCAAAACCCCTTACACCCCAAACCCCTGAAACCCGAACCCCTAAGAACCCAAACCCGAAGTAGCCCTAAACCCTAAACCCTAAACCCTAAACTAAAAACCCAGGGCCTACCCTGGGTCCCAGAATATGCCGGGGCAACCTGGAAGATCTCCCCCTCCTGGAGCGTCCGCACTTCTGCGGAGCCCTGGCCGCGCCATCGCAGCTGTTCTGGGGTTTAGGGGTCTGGGGTTTAGGGCTTAGGGGAAGGGATTTAGGGTTTAGGGTTTAGAGTTCAGGGTTTGCGGTTTCGAGTTCAGGGTTGGGGAGGGTCAGGGGTGTTGGGTTTGGGGGTTTGGGGGTTTGGGGGTTTGGGGGTTTGGGGGTTTGGGGGTTTGGGGGTTTGGGGTTTGGGGTTTGGGGTTTGGGGTTTGGGGTTTGGGGTGTGAGGTTTACGGCTTGGGGCTTGGGGTTTGGAGTTTATAGGCAGTTTAGGGCTTGTGGTTTAGGGTTGAGGCTTTAAGTGGGTTTGGGGGTTCCTGCTTCGTCTCCTTTCTCGTTCCGGGTTCAGGTTTCAGTTTCGGGGTTTCAGGGTCTCGGGCTCAGGGGCTTCTAGCCGCTCAGGGCTTGGTTCTTAGGGTTTAGGGTTTAGGGTTTAGGGTTTAGGGTTT